AAGATCAACGACTCTGATTTGCAAGCATGTGACACCATTGATCTTTTTTGATCTAACGGCTCTCAGATGAGGTGTCAAATTTAAAATTTGACACTGGTGGATCCTACCTCATATATATATATATATATATATATATATATATATATATATATATATATAACTTAATAACATTCCATATGCAGAGAAGAGATATTCTCACTACCAAAATTTTCACTACCAATTTACTATCTATCTAATCATCATTAAATTAACATTTTTTCTCTCTTCAAAAACTTTTTAACATTCTCTCTCTTTGATCCAATGGTGATGTGATAGGTAGTAAGCCACTGGCAAGAATTTTTGGTAGTTAGAATATCATCACTCTCATATATATTAGATTAAATTAAATCATAAACAAAATCATATAATTTAATGTGTGAAAATTAATTGTGAATTGTATAATTATGTGAATACATGCAGACGGTGTCACATCAATGCCTTCTGCAAAAGTTTTTCCCAGAAGTATACATAAGGACACAGGACGAGCACGAGATTGATAGTAACTACTGCAAATATGACAATCAAAACCTTCAATTGTTCACATCCTCTCTCTACCTTGCAGCTTTGGTTGCAACCGTATTTGCCTCTAGAGTCACCAGAAAACTAGGCCGCAAGCAAACTATGTTGATTTCTGGGATTTTCTTCATTGTTGGAACTGTCTTCAATGCAGTGGCAAATACCCTTCCCCTCCTCATTATAGGCAGGATCATACTTGGTTGCGGTGTTGGTTTCGCCAATCAGGTCCTTATCTATTCTCCTTTTCACTCTACTTTTTGGCGTACAATTTCATACATTATCTTAATTTCTCATTCAATATTTGCTCATTCTTGATGAATTACAATTTTCACGACAGGTTGTACCAGTTTTTCTTTCTGAGATTGCACCCACAAGAATTCGTGGAGCACATAACATCATGTTCCAGCTTAACATCACCATCGGAATTCTCATAGCAAACATTGTCAACTGGTTTACTGCAAAGTAAGTTTAATAATTAATCCTTATATAATTAATAGAAATAATTGATAGGCACAAAGACTATATAATTTTATTTTGATTAACTGAAATTTTGGTATTAGACTCTAATTGTGTAAATTGGAGAATAGGATTGAAGGTGGATATGGGTGGAGGATATAAGTGGCGTTGGCAGGCATTCCAGCTCTGATGCTAACAGTGGGGGCCCTCATAGTGGATGACACTCCCAATAGTCTTATTGAGAGGGGTTTTGAGGATGAAGGAAAGGCTGTGCTCAAGAAGATTCGTGGTGTAGAAAATGTTGACCCTGAATTTGAAGATATTGTTAAAGCCAGTAAAGTGGCTAAAGAGGTCAAGAACCCCTTCACCAACCTCTTCAAGCGCCACAATCGTCCTCCTCTGATCATTGCCATCTTGTTGCAGATCACTGCTTATTTTTCATATTTGTCATTAATCGTAAACCAAAAAATATTATTTTGACTCATATACGAGCATATAAATTGTTAGGTGCTGAACTGGCAGAGATAAGAATTTGTTAATTAGTGTCTTGATCAATTTTTTTATTTTGAATTTCCTATTGATACAGGTCTTCCAACAAATGATTGGCATCAATGCGATCATGTTCTATGCTCCAGTGTTGTTCAACACATTGGGATTTTAGCATGATGCTTCACTGTACTCAGCAGTGATCACAGGAGCTGAGAATGTTCTCTCCACATTGGTTTCTGTGTTCTTAGTTGACAAAGCAGGGAGAAGGGTGCTCCTGTTGGAAGCTGGTGTTCAAATGTTTGTGTCTCAAATGGTGATCGGAATAATACATGGGTTAAAGGTACAAGACTACTCAGATAGCTTGAGCAAGGGAATTGCCATGTTGGTGGTGGTCATGGTTTGCACATTTGTGTCATCTTTTGCATGGTCTTGGGGCCCACTTGGGTGGCTAATTCCCAGTGAGACATTCCCACTAGAGGCTGGATCAGCCGGGCAAAGTGTGGCTGTGTTCACAAACATGCTCTTCACCTTTATCATTGCACAGGATTTCTTGTCCATGTTGTGCCACCTCAAGTTTGGGATCTTCTTATTTTTCTCGGCTTGGGTGCTTGCCATGTCATTATTCACAGTCTTCCTAATTCCAGAGACAAAGAATATCCCAATTGAAGAGATGACTGAGAAAGTATGGAGACAACACTGGTTCTGGAAGAGATTTATGGATTATTAAATTCGAGGCCATATACGCGTAGAAGTACATTACTTCGAATATTATTTCATGGTTACTTGCAGCCACGTAATCGACCCCACATCCTACAAAAGTTCAAGTTAGTCTTGGCTTGTACGGGATAAGGCGATATGATATTTACCCAATTTTTTTTTCTTTTGTCCAAAAAAAAAATCTCCACATCAAAATTCTTTCACCATACTTTACACTTTAATTCTTTAGGATAAAACAATAAAAATAATGTATGTTTTTATTGTTTTATTATCTTAAATTTTTTGCGTATATAACATTATATAATCATTTTATTTCTATAATTCCGTACATAATCAAAGAATGAAAAAGATTCTACTAGAGTCTCAAGTCCTAAAAGTGAATTACTACTATTATCCTCGTCATCATTAATTATAATATTTTTTATATCATTATTATCATCTTCATCATCATCATTGAATTCATATAAAAAAATTAAAAGCAAATATTTCAACTATTTAATTATGCTCGAAAGAATCATTACCTTTCTTTCTTGTTTTTCAACTTGAGCGAAAAAAGAGATAGACAGAGAGAGAAACATGTTGTGCTGCCTGTCGCAACAGAGGTGGATTCGCCACCAAAGTTTTTTTAGGAAAACATTGGAAAAATTATTTTTTGTTTGGGAAAATTAGTCTTTGGAAACAGAGGTGGATTCTCGAGTCGATTATGTGTAGGGAATATGTTAGCACCCTACACTATCCATTAAAAGAACGGTTACCTTGTATTAAATGTGCAAATTGTTGGAAAATTTTTAAATATTTGTTTCACTCTAAAAAAATTAAGATTGGTTATTGAAAAAGAAACTAACATTTAAAAATTTATTTTTGAACTTGACGGGAAGGGTTCCGCTCCGACGTATCCCTCGGTGCAATAGGGAACTCAAAGCTTACATTGTTCTGTAGAAAATATTTATGTGTTGATTGATTTTAATTTTAAAAATAGTTAAAGAAAAACATTTAGAAGTTGGGATTTGATGGTTTTGGACTATCAAGTTGTCGCAGTTAAAATAATCTGAAATGATAATTGTACGATTAACAAGCTATCTCAAAACAGCTAATCCTATTAAAATAAATTTCATGTTATTATTTTCATTATTATAAATTTTACGATAAATTTAAATGAATTTTTTAAACATCAAGTCATCACGGCTAAAATGAACCAAAATAAAATACGTGAGGTTAACAAACCGTCATGGCTAATTTGGTTTAATTAATTTTGCCAACAAAATTTCAATATTAATAGTCGTCATTTAAGATTAGTCACCTATATGTTATCCAAGTTGGGCATTTCAAATATGCATGCTCCAACTTGAGAGGGAGTATTAGAGAAACAAATATTGTTTTGGAAATATTCTGCATTTAATGCATACATAATTATAAGTATAAAATTAGTTTTAGCATAATTAGCTAATCTTACCACCCTGTTATTACAAGAAGGAGGACCCAAAAGCAATGTTTAATAGTAATAGGACCACACCAAAAAAAATAAAAAATAGTTATAGGACCCAAAAGTGCATAACAAAACTCACATGTTCATCTATTAAAACCATATCGATATTGTCTCCCATCTCAGGTCGATGAAAGTTGGGCTGTCTCCAGAGTCTGATAATCCTAATGTTGATCCTCCATTGCTCTTTAGATGGTGTCAGATCACGGATGAGATCAAATCTCGTAGTCATTTCAACAGATATCGAAACACAAAGTATGACCAGCGAATAGATGGATTTTTCCTATTTAATAAATAAGAATGAGTTAGCCATGAGTCTAGCCCATATCATGAGCCCAACTTGGGAAGGAAAACTTCAGCTATTGCTGACTCATTTAGTTTCTGTTGTTTATTTAGTTTTCGTTTTTCATTTAGCTTCGTTTTCTCATTTAGCTTCCATTTTTCATTTAGCTTCTATTTTCATTTAATTTTTGTTTTTCATTTAGTTTTCGTTGTTCATTTAGCTTCCGCTTTTCATTTAGCTTATGTTTTTCATTTATTTTTCAATTAATTTATGTTTTCATTTAGTTTATATTTTTCATTTAGCTCCTATTAAGGGTATATATTACTATTATTCTTATTAATTTATTATTGCTATTGTTATTATACGATTAAGTGTGAAAAGAAATTTGATTCGTGCATTTTTATCCTCTTGTGACATAATCTTTTCTAATAATAAAGATTATTTTAGCGCATAAAGAACAACATATTAAAAACTTTTTAGTAAATAAATTGTTTAGATTATTGAGATTAGAAATATGTTTGATTTGATGATACATTTTTATTTTTTTTTGGTTTCCCAAGTATCTTCCAGCCGACAGCTGAAGACTAATCCTTTTAAGGCGGGAGATCACATTAAGTGGGTAAACCTCTCCCAACAAAGCTTTTTCCATACATACGGTCAAGAATCAAACCCTGTCAGCATGCTTAAGGAACCCAGCTATCTACCAACTACGCTGGGCTTTGTTGGTTGATTATACATATTTTTTCAAATGCAATTGGCAATTACTAAAGTTTGTTCAAGCAATTAAGCTAGGAGGTAGGAGGAAATATATTTAGATTATTGATATTAGACCATGTTTGGATGTATTTTTTTTCTAATAAAACCTTTGATTATAAATTATACTAAATATAAAATAAGTTAATCTAAGAATACATTAAAAAGATAAATCATTACATTATTAGGGAAGAAAATATTAGGGAAGAAAGATAAAGGAAGAAGGGAAGAAACGAATGGAAAAAGCAAAGCACTAAAGAGCAGTGAAAAGAGAAAGAAAGAAGATTGAGGAGGCGCAAGAGTAGGAAGCGGGGAATGCTGAACGCCAAAGACTCAAGCCGAATATTTAGCTGAAAAAATAAAAAAACACACTTTCTTTCTCTCTCTTCTTTGTCTCCACACTTCAATTCAATCTTGAATTGAACCATTACTCTCTTCCCATTTTTATTTTTTATTTTTTTTCTTGTACCCTTCTCTTTCTTTTCCTTGGAATTCAGCATGAACAGGTCCCAAGATCAACGGTCAAGACCTACCAAGCCAGCCACCATTCATGGTTGTGCCCTTTCTGGGGACCTTGTTGGACTCCAAAGGCTACTTCGAGATAACCCTTCTCTTCTCAATGAGAGAAACCCTGTTGTAAGATCTCATTTATTTTTTATTTCTACCAACTGGGCATCTTAAAAAATATGATCTTTTTTTTATTGGTGGTGTCTGATCTTCTCTAACTTTGAAATATGGATCTTTTATTTTGTTGTGTTTGAGGAAAGTTTATGTTTTTGTTAGTGGGTTGATGTTATTTTTTAATTCTCACTTTCTTGTGAATTGAGGGTTTGGAATTATGTGCATGACATTCAGATCTACTTGGTCAAGACTCGTGATTTGATGGAAGGTTTGTCGATTATCTTATGAAAGAATAGGCTTAGTGGGGTTGTAGGAAAAGATGACAACTTTAGATTAGCTTGATTATTAGTCTAGCTAAATCCTCATTTTTTAGCTATAGTAGTACCTTTTCTCTGTTCAAAATGCAAGCTACAATAAGAGTCAAAAGAAAATTTTGATACAAGCATAGTGCCTTGGGTGTTGAATATGCTAGTCCCAACGGAGATTTCTCCGGAGGGTAAAGCTTACTGGCAAAAAACTTTCGCCCTTTTTTTGGTCTAATTTGGTTGAAGAGGAATTGGGTAGATTTTCAGGGTGAAGACTATATCTTTAGACTTGCACGGGAAAGAATTATTTTTATGGCTTCTCTTTGCTGATCATTTGTATTTGTATTTTTATTTTTTTTGCTTGAAGTTTATGTGACAAATATGTCAGGGGATTGGATGGCATTAATATTATTGTATTGATGATCTTTTTCTCCAATTGCTTACTTCTGGGTTTCTAGTAATAACGTTTTAAAAAAGTGGTGTGTACTTCATTAGTGGGTTTATTGCATGGCTTGGATATATCCTGGCATTTTAATTTCGTATTTTATAGGATTTCGTATGATTTTTATGAAATTTTATTTATGTTATACGCCTGAAGATCTAAGTTGTTTTAAATGCAGATGGCGCAGACACCACTTCATGTTTCTGCTGGTCACAATAGGGCTGAGATAGTTAATTTTCTTCTTGGATGGCAAGGACCAGATAGTGTTGAGATGGAGGCCAAGAATATGGTAGGTACTCCGCAATCTTTTGCTGAAGTTATTGTTTGAGTGTAAACATGTATGATCTATATTCTAGTAAGTGTCTTGTAATCCCAAAAGGTTTCTTTGTATCATTGTTGCAGTATGGAGAAACTCCGTTGCACATGGCAGCAAAGAATGGGTGCAATGAAGCTGCACAGTTACTTCTCGCTAATGGTGCTTTTGTTGAAGCTAGAGCAAATGTGAACTTTCTTGTTACTTCATCTGTCATTTAATTTAGTGTAAACCAAGAAAAGATTCGTTTTTATGCATCATCATCCATGTGAATGTTTGTTCCCGACCTTTTACTTGCAGAATGGTATGACACCTTTACACCTTGCTGTTTGGTACTCACTACGAGCAGAAGAATTCTTAACTGTGAAATCATTGCTTGAATACAATGCAGATTGCAGTGCCAAGGACAATGTAGTAAATTTAATTTCCTGTTTTTATGTTATTTTAACATTTTCAGTGAAATCATAATAAATGCTCAAACCTATGAATTGCAGGAGGGAATGACTCCTTTAAATCATCTTTCCCAAGGCCCTGGAACTGAGAAACTCAGGGAACTACTACTCTGGCATCTTGAAGATCAGAGGAAGAGACGAGCTATTGAAGCATGCAGTGAAACCAAAGCTAAAATGGATGAGCTTGAAAAGGAACTATCAAATATTGTGGGTCTAAATGATCTAAAAATACAACTACGGAAGTGGGCAAAGGGCATGCTTTTGGATGAGAGGCGTAGAGCTCTTGGTCTGCATGTTGGCATGAGAAGATCCCCTCATATGGCCTTTCTTGGCAATCCTGGAACAGGTTATTGGTGACAGATTATTTTTGTAATATAGTGCTCATACTGTCTGCAACAAGTATTGGCAAGATGTCTCATCCTGCACTTAATTTCATTGTTTTCCATTTACCATCCGTGCTAGAAAACTTGTTATTGTTTTTTCATTTTATTGAATTCTCATGTTTCTATTAGGAGGTCTTGGCTCAATCTTCCCTTTGTATATAGACATTTGCATGACCACTCAATAATTGGTATAGGGAAATGTTACTTAGTTCTGAAGTTAATTTATTGCAAGCATCATTGAGTTTTCATGCATCCCTTGGCACCTCACTTATACTAATGCCAAGATTTTTTGAACTTCTATCCTTTTCTCATGACTTCCACAACTAATGCAGCATTACAACCTAAGCGTTTCGCTCCTTATTGGTTTAGATTGATGAAAGTGCACATTCTGATTACGCACTGACGTAATTTTGTTTTTATATAAAAATGAAAATGCAACACCATCAATCTTGACTGCCTTCTTTTTCTTTTCATTCAATTACTTCATGTCATCCCCTACTGAGATTTAGGGCCCGTTTAGATGGGTTTTTTTTTCTTCAAAAGCTGTTTTTTTCTTGAAAAAAAGCACTTTTCAGTTTTAGTTCATGTGGATGTCTGCTTTTAAAAAAGCAGAAGTCACAAAAAAAGCCAAAAAACTACTTTTTCCAGAAGCTAAAAATTTTAACTTCTAAAAAAAGTAGAAGTCAAAAGCCAAATATTTTTTTCAAAAACTAAATATTTTTATAAAAATATAAATAGCTTTAACTTTTGTAAAAAGGACTTCTAAAATAAGGAAGAGATAAAAGTTATTTTTTTTAAAAGGGGAAACAAACGGGCTCTTATTACTTGTATTTTTTGTGTTTTGTCTTTTTAATATCATGTACATTTGCTAAGTTGACTTCTGTTTTTGATAGGCAAAACTATGGTAGCGCGGATCCTCGGAAGATTACTCCATATGGTGGGAATTCTACCTACAGATAAAGTGACAGAAGTTCAAAGGACTGATTTAGTTGGTGAATTTGTTGGTCATACTGGTCCAAAAACCCGGAGGAAGGTATGTTGTTGGCTTTGGAATACTCCTCCTTCTACATGTGCTTTAGCTTTTAGAAACCTAACATGATTGTGTTGCTTAACAAGTGAGTTCAAACTTCAAACATTGTATACAGATCAAGGAAGCAGAAGGTGGAATTCTTTTTGTTGATGAAGCTTATAGACTGATACCAATGCAGAAGTCAGATGATAAGGACTATGGTTTGGAAGCCTTGGAGGAGATTATGTCAGTCATGGACAGTGGAAAAATTGTAGTAATATTTTCTGGGTATGACGAACCAATGAAACGAGTAATTGCTTCTAATGAAGGTTTTTGTAGACGAGTGACCAAGTTTTTTCATTTTAATGATTTCAATTCAAAAGAACTAGCGGAAATCATTCACATTAAGATGAATAATTTAGGAGAAGATAGTTTGCTATATGGATTCAAGTTGCATCCCAGTTGCAGTATAGAAGCTTTAGGGGCATTGATAGAAAGGGAAACAACAGAAAAGCAGCGTAATGAGACAAATGGTGGTTTGGTAGATACCATGTTGGTTAATGCTAGAGAAAATTTGGACCTAAGGCTCAGCTTTGACTGTATAGATACAGAAGAACTTCTAACCATCACACTGGTAGATTTAGAAGCAGGTCTTCGGATATTATCACAGTAATCATTCTTTGGCAATGTGTTAGATATTTTGGAGAGATTCATTTCAGCTTCCCTCAGTGTTCACCATTGAATATATTTGCATGTTTGCAACTGCACAATGAGGAGCTTGTCATGAATAAGTTTGCCACAGTAGGTGGATCCTTTTATGGGATTTTTTTTTTTGTTTTTGTTTTTATTAATTGATAATGTTATTATATAGGTTACATTGATGCACTTTTCTTTATTTATTTTTTATGTCTTTCATTGTATTCTTTGTATGTTATTCATTATTGTAGGGCAGTAATAAATCTACCATTTTGTGACTGTCCGAAAATATTTCCATTATTATTAACCATTAACGGTTTGTTATTATATAGACATTTCCTGTTTTTTTTTTTTTTTCTATACCTATGTATGATATACTGAATGACTGTTGGATTTTATTTAAATATTTTCTGAATAATGAGAGTTTATCAAGCTTTTGGTGTTTGAATATTGGTTTCATTTATTTTTTTTAAACGACTTTGCACGGGACTGAAGGTTAAATTTTATTGTAAATTATTTTAAAAAAAAATTAACTGTAAATTGATTTTGTTTTTAGAATAATATTCCATATGTTCTCACGTGGATACTTTTTACGAGTGGTTCACCTGTTACTTTATTTTTTATTGTATCATTTAAAGAAAGACGAACACAACTCTCTTATATGTAGAATTTGGATGTCTTCCTACAAATTAATATTTATATGTATTTTTCTTAACATGACAAGTTGATCTAAAATTCTCATGAAAAGATTGAAATATTCTTTGTCAACTTGCACAAACTGCTGACAGAAGTTATGGAATTCATGTAATAAGACAAGACATTCAGTAATACTTAATGATGGAAATAAACTGAATGTATTATATTCTCCACTGAATAAGCAAATTCCTCTATGCATAATATTCTATATTTTCTTGTTAAACCCGTTCAATTTAAAAGTTGAAGTAGTTTAAACGGTTAAGTGATTGTTTCAATCACACAATAATTTATTGAACTTGAAGAAATAATAAATTTTGTGCTAATAAATTTTATAATATTTAATTATTATTTTTTTAATAAGGTGAGGAATTTTATTTTTTTGGAAAAATAAATAAAAGAAAACAGAAAAACAAAACTAGCTACACAGCCTTGGCCACACCACGTCACCCACTTTTTAACTATATTTTCTCAGAAGAAAAAAAGAAAACAAAAGAAAACTACATTGCAGAATCTACCTCCGCAACTTGAAGCATAACCCGAAATATGTCATCCACTTTTCTCTTGAACATTTTACCCTTACTCAAGGAAACCTTGTACCCGAAGGCTTTGTTTGGGAGTTGGTTTTAGGAGGGAAAGGAAAGAAAATGAAGGGTTTTAGTAAGCCCTTTTCTTGTTTGTGAGTTTATAAAAAAGAGGGGAAGAGTTTGGGGATTTTTACTAAATCTTCCCAAACTCTCCTTCTTCTTAAAATTAAAGTTCTCCAACTTTGGAGGGTTTTAGGGAAAATATATTAAAAATTACTTATCTACCCTTAGCATTAAAATATTAAAACTATATAATTGTGAATCATTTTTAAATGCGATATTATTAGAAAAGTCTCAAATATAGACGGAATTTATTGACGAAAAATATTTCGTCAAAAATAGTGATGAAATTTTTGATGAAAATCATATACGTCAAAAAATTTCCGTCAAAACTAAAGACAAAATTAGAGACGGAACCAGATTTTGCCATACTCACTAACATAAATTTTGTACGGAAAAAAAATATTCAGTCAAAATTATTGATAGAATCTAAATTCCGTCGAAACTTTTAACGAAAATATTTCCGTCCAAAATTTTGATGAAACACATTTTCATCGAAAAGTTTTGATGTAAAACAATTACGTCAAAAAAATTTATGAAAAATATTTCCATCAAAATTTGTGACTAAAAATATTTATATAAAAAAATTTGACGGAAATTTTTTTTTGTCAAAATTATTTACGGAATCTAAATTTTGCCAAAATATTTCACAAAAAACATATTCATTGAAATTTTTGACGCAAAATATTTCCATTCAAATTTTCAACGAAACACATTTTTATCGAAAATTGTTGACGAAAAAAAATTTCATCAAAATTCTTAACAGAATTTAAATTTCACCAAAAAATTTCAACGGAAACATTTTTGTTAAAGTTTTTGGCAAAAAAAATTTCTATCAAAATTTTTAACGAAACACATTTTCATAGAAAATTTTCGACAAAAAATATTTTCGTCAAGATTTTTGATAAAAACTATTTCCGTCAAGATTTTCAACGGAACGCATTTCTGTCAAAAAATTTTTGACAGAAAATATTTCCGTAAAAAACTTTGACGAAAAATATTTCGACAAAAAATATTGACGGAAAAAATATTCTGTTAAAACATTTTACAAAATCTAAATTTCGTCGAAGTTTCGAATGAAATATTTACCTCAAAATTTATAACTAAACAATTTCTGTTGAAATTTTCGTCAGAACACATTTCCATCGAAATTTTGAACGAAAAACGTTCTGTCAAAATTTTTTACGGAATTCTTTCTTCGTTTAACACATTTGATGGAAACTAAATTTCGTCGAAAATTTTGATAGAAAATTTATTTTTGTAAAAATTTTCATCGGTTGAAAAATTCCGTCGCTTTTTGACGAAAAAAATTAATTTTGTGATAAAAATTTCATCGTTTGCAACGTAGAAATTTCATTGAATATATGATCTTTTTTGGTGTTGTGAAAAGTACATACATGATTTTGTTACAAATTTTAAATTTAATTTAATTTTTAAATATAATAATTATATTAATTTAAAAGAGAGAGTAAAATCGTAAAAATATCTCATTAACCCTCAATTTCTTTCCTTTATCATTTTTTTAACTCCCAAATAAGGGAATACCCTTCAATTTTCTTCCCTCCCTCACCCTTGGATCCCCTTCTTTTCCCTCCCCTCCAAACTCCCCTGCACCAGAGTCTTTTCTTCTACGCCAATATTAATGGATTCCAACATGATAGATAAAAGACCATTGCTGTCTCCTTCTTTCTTAAAATTAATGGACATGTCCATGACAGTAGAAATAAAAAAATAAAAAAAATAAAACCCATTATATTTTAAAAAAATTTGTGCACGGGGGTAGCAATTCATGTTATTGCCCCCACATAAAAATTGTATACTTCCCTTATGCGCAGCTAGATGCATATCTCTATCACGCGACTACTTATAATTAAAATTAGATCACATAATAAATTCACAACGGTTGAAATAGAGGTAATTTTTCATGTTATAGAAGATAAATTTATTTCATATATATAGGGAAAAATATTTCTACAATAACTTTAGATAAAGTTGTCTACAACTGTCCCTTTTTCACTATGTACGACCGATCGTACTTAGTTATAACAATAAAGTTGTTTTTTTTTTCTCTTTCCTCAGACATTGTCGGCTGACGTGGCGGAGAGAGAAAATGCAATTTTAATGTACGACCGGTCGTACTTAGTGAAATAGGGTAGTTGTAGACAACCTTATCTAAAGTGGCTGCATAAATGTTTTCCCCATACATATATATATATATATATATATATATATATATATATATATATATATATATATATATATATGAGGCATGATCATTTGACACCGGTGTCAAATTTAAAGTTTGACACCTCATCTGAGAGCAGTTAGATCAAAAAAGATCAATGGTGTCACATGCTTACAAATTAGAGTCGTTGATCTTTTTTGATCTAATGGCTCTCAGATGAGGTGTCAAACTTTAAATCTGACACTAGTGTCAAAGGATCCTACCTCTATATGAGGCATGATCCTTTGACACCGGTGTCAAATTTAAAGTTTGACACCTCATCTGAGAGCCGTTAGATCAAAAAAAGATCAATAGTGTCACATGCTTACAAATTAGAGTCGTTGATCTTTTTTGATCTAATGGCTCTCATATGAGGTGTCAAACTTTAAATTTGACACTAATGTCAAAGGATCCTACCTCTATACGAGACATGATCCTTTGACACTGGTGTCAAATTTAAAGTTTGACACCGATGTCAAATTTAAAGTTCGACACCTTATCTGAGAGTCGTTAGATCAAAAAAGATCAATGGTGTTACATGCTTACAAATTAGAGTTGTTGATCTAATGGCTCACAGATGAGGTATCAAACTTTAAATTTGACACTAGTGTCAAAAAATCCTATCTCTATATGAGGCATGATCCTTTGACACCGGTGTCAAATTTAAAGTTTGACACCTCATCTGAGAGCCGTGAGATCAAAAAAGATCAATGATGTCACATGCTTACAACTAATTTAATCACCGTTGATTTTCGTCAATCTAACGGTTATAATTTTTAAGAATTAATAATTAAGTAATAAGTACAACCCAATAATTTCCAATAAAGTATACCGTTAGATTGACGGAAATCAACGATGATTAAGTTGATAGTAAGGGTGGCAAACATTTTTTGTGGTAAGTATATCCTTCCCTGTATATATATATGGGAAAAAAGTATCTAATGTTACTTTAGATAACTTTATCTAATGTTCATCGAAATGACGTCGTTTTGGGATTGAAAAATTAAAAAATTAGAATGATAAAGACTATTATAACCCTGAAATAAATTAAAATTACAAAAATACCATGATTTCCGCCCAAAACGATGTCGTTTCGATGAAAATTAGATAAAGTTATCTAAAGTAACTTTAGAAAAAACAAACCCTATATATATATATATATACAGAAAAATATTTCTGCAGTTAATGCAGATAAGTTATCTGCATTTACTTCCAAAACGACGTAGTTTTGAGATTGAAAAATTAGAAAATTATAAGACTATAATAGCCCTGGAAAAAATTTAAATTACAAAAACACCATGATTTTTGCCCCAAAACGACGTCGTATTGGGCTTACTACAGATAACTCATATGCAGTAACTGCAGAAAAAGTGAACCTACATATATATATATATATATATATATATATATATATATATATATATTTATATATATAAGTATTTGATACCCATATGGACTCATGTAAGAAGAAAGAGAAAATATAGGCCACAGACATTTTTATGTCGGGATATTCACAATCTGGATTAGATCGATTTTAGAAGCAAAAATCATCTGATTTAATCGATTTAGTTTGGAATTTTTTTCAAATCCGATCCAATTCAATCCAATTTTATTCGATTTGGATTGGATTAGTTTTCGATTTTTTTAAAAGTCTAAAATTTGTATGATGATTATGATGCAAATA